CACGCTAACAACTTCAATTTTATATTCGGATGGACATATAATCCCAGTAAGAGAGTGTCTTGTAATGAAATAAGATATTATAATTTAACTATTTTCAATTATCTGTATAATAATACTATACTCTTTCTAGCCTAGAGAGTTTACCCCGCTCATACACGACGGTAAGTCGAGTCTTCAAAGCAACATTCAGTTGTAATGTTTTTTTGTTTTTGTTTTTATTGTCGACAAATGTTATAGCTTGTTGACAAATTTTGTAACAAAGTTACAAAGATGGTATCAGAAGCCCCTGCAACGTTTGTTCAATGTAGATCAACAGTTTATATTGAGAACTGTTCAGTTCACGGGCGTCATATTTGGGATAAGGTGGACTCGAGACAATATTGGCTTGACTTTTTAGTTATATGCTATGAGAATAATATATCTTTCTCACATGAAGTTTATTATGTATTTGTGTGTATGATTGGATACGATGACATTTGTTACCTAAACCACATCAGTCAATTATGTTGTCATTATATTTTCATAATTATCAGCGATTATTTTTAAATAACACTACGGAATATATTCTTATCACATATCACATGCATGGAGTGTATATTTCTAAAATGTGACAGGGAATATCAATTATGTGACACCTGAACTTTTCAGAAATTGTTCGACCTCCTGTCTCCGAGCTGTTATATTTCGCATGTGACCCGTGCACTGTGGGGTACAGCCAATCACGAACCCCCAACTGACGCGCGTGTTTATACTAGTGAATAAACTTTGACCGTATTTGGAATATCGTACCTATATTTTTCTACGGTCGCGTGATTCTGTTTTAGTTCTGCAACCATGCAAGTTCTGTCAGGTCATGTTTGATTTTCAATTCACAAGAAAGCTGCCTCCCCAATAATTTCACCATTCAAATTCGAACCGCCGCCTCGTCTCGTTTACTCTGTCTATTTCAAACACACGCGCAAATAATCGACACTCATCTCATTAACAATTCAACCAATCGAATCGCTACGTTCATTTTATGAATGCAAGGCTGTCGTATAGCAGACTTATTAGAGCCATTATTTTAATATAGCGGTCACAAATGCCAGGGTTCAAAGGTAGGGGCCTTATGGAGAATATTACCATACCCTGAATCATGAGACGCATGGAAGACATAGTTTTGTTTTCCCAACGATACTTAAAGAGCGATGGTCGTCGTGCCGCGTCCTGTTCGATATGGGACTCATAGCGACGTATACAACGCGTGTAAATGACATTGTTTATTTACATGAAATTCGAACACGCGCTGCGCAACGGCCACCGCGCTTTAAATTATCTCTATAAATGGGTTGAGATTTTAAATGTCCTGATAATTGCAGAACGTATGATATAAGCACAAACTATTCACTTACAGAACTCAGTGTTGAACTCAGTTGCAGCATAAAACGTGACTGGGATTATGACTGAGCGTATATTATAACCACTAACACTCTTAATATCACTTTTGTCATTAATACATTTCAATTATATGATATATGACGTGCAAGTTATCCTAAAACCCATATGTTTTGTAAGCGATCAAGCATTTGCATACAGGGGATCATAGTGTTGAACCCGATACACTTCCCGCTGTAGAGAACACTTACAAGTACTAGTAATTATAATATCTCTTCGAAGTAGAGATCAATATATCTATAAAATGTAATCTATTGACAGATTATGTAATAGAATAAATGTAAGATGACAATTAACTTTTTTATCATAATATTTCAGAAAGAGTTGAACATTAGTGACAATTCGTTAAAAACCGCGAGGCATTAGCCTGAAGGTTTTGTGTTATTCGGGGCATGTCATACAGAGACATGTAACGGTCCGCTTCTTCGGATTACAAATCGATATAATATAAGAACAAATGAGAGCTATGCTGATCGCCGGTTTATGCTTCATGACACAATCAATTATTTAGTACGTATTGACACGGGCGTAGTAAGGCTTATTATATATAATATTACCACAAAAGTAAATGAACAGGCACAATCAGAATATCCACGTGTTTCAATCACATTTCTAAACAAAAAGCAATATCGTTACTTTCGACGCGTGATTGCAATATTAACGGGCTCATGGATTATTATTCAGTACCAGTACCGGTATTCAGAAAAATTTCTGTTTTCACAAATTTCAAATATTAATCGAATCGAATGCGACATTTGAAAAGCATCTTTGACTTTGTGCATACATACATAAACAGACTGAATGCACAATTTGAATCCCAGACACTTGGGTGTAAATCGCGACATTGAGAAAGCACAATGGTCTGAAAATACGAGCAAGCTGTATAAATGTTGTCTTCCTTGTAACCATAGTATAATCGATGGTGCGAAATATGAATAAGTCATTATGTATTAACAAGATGCAAACAAACCAGCTTTTATAATAATTGCCAAAAGCATTAATGAATATTGCACAACATATAACTGCAAGGAAACAAAAGATGTCTTTATAGGTAAGAAATTGAAAATATATAATCTATTTCTTCATTATTCATAACTGATCTGCGTTTAAGAAAAACATTGTCCAGAATTTGTGGTTTTCCGTTCACTGTGAGTCTCGAGTAATGCGGGTCGAAGATCTGCCGCAAAAAACGAATGTGTTGATTTTGAACTTGAATTTGTATTTTTATAGTTCATTTTCGAAAGCCTATCTCTCAGAGAGGAATTTGACGTTGGGATATCCTTACTTCAACAAAATTGACCCTCATCAAATGTGTACAGCCCAGTATATCAAGCGATACATACCCAAAGATTACTAGTAGTATGAAGCAACACGAGTTACATAAAATGATCCTCTATACGAATGAAAATAATGTAATGACAAATATTAATGAGGATAGTACAATCTAATTAGGTCCAAATTAACACAAACATGTTCAACTGAGTGTGTACGCATAAATCAATTTCCTTATTCCGGATATGAACCACGTTTCAAGGAATTGAAAACATTATTTTGAAAATCTTTATAAAGTCTCTGGTGTAGACGATGTTTTAGTATTTGATGATAAATCATATGCTAGGATTATTCAGATCAAAGTTCAAATTGAATGGAGAAATAAACGTAGTACTCTGAATCGTGATATTTTCATGAATCCTTGAATGGTGATACTACTATGGATGAGGTTAACAAAGTTGTCAATCATAGGTATAAGGATGCATTGGTTAAAAAAAACATTTGAGTTATGTTTTTAGCTGTGGTGACAAGGAATAATGCAACCTATCACGCAAATTGGAATAAAATGGGAATCAGTTTTTTTGGGCAAATGTAAGTAAAATTTACTCTTTGAAATAAGAGAATGATTATATATTTACTTTGTCGGCGTTCATTGATATAACAAAAACAATTGACTGCGCTGATGTGAATTGTGTTTTGTCAAAAAGGTGAAAACATCCATTTTTGTTAATTATGTTATTTATATAGCGACTGAATATTATTAATGTAAACGATCACGTTCTCTATAACGATAGGCAAGGTGACGCTATCGTGTCACTTACTATATAATTGGCAATTGCGTAGTATAGGTTTAGGTGTCCTAATAAACGATTCTAATTTTCAGTATAAGATGCAACTTTGTCCTTACTGATGATGAGTCATATTTAATTCATGTTAGTAATTGATGTACAAAATGGCGTATGGAGTGTAATAGTAGAGAGTTCCGACTTCTGGGTTTTGGAAAAAATCGAAATAGTGCAGTGTTCGCAAAAATGGGGTCACCCCGTTTTTTAAAACTAAATCTAACTGGATTAGCAGCTCAGAAAATGTTCGTTATGTTAAAAAAGATGGAAAGGTTGTATGTAAGTCTAGTGTGATAGCTGATATGCCTGTGTTGAGTCATTGATTCACTTATCTCAAAAATCATAAAATGTAAAGATTTCTGTTATGTCGTGTTACTATGCTCTTCAAGTATTGTATTGCTGCTTTTGGTGATTATTGTTCTGCTAATTATGGTTTTTCACCCAATGTGATTGCACTTTGGTAGTTTATTGTGAGTTCTTCACTTTGTCTAGTAAAGATTTTAAACTGGGGTATAGGCTAGAAGAGTTATATTATAAAACCGAATTTGAAAATGTTGCTGGACCCAGGAGCTTGACAAAATCACTCAAGAATTTTTTTTTTTTTTTGCGTGGGACATCCTGCGTCATTCCGGAAATAAGGGACATATTGAAATATGCAAGCTCTTTAATTAGATTGGGTTGCAGGGAATTGTGTTCAACCTCGGGACATGAAGGCTTCCCACAATTAGCGACCTATGTCAGGAAATTGGAAACACACGTACTGACGAATATAATTTAGAAGATTTATTGCATCCTAACATATGTGAGGTGGATTCTCACATATAGTGAGGTAGTTTTTTCACATATACTATGGTAGATTCCCACATTCTCACATATAGTAAGGTTGATTCTCACATTCTCACATGTAGCAAGGTAGATGCACATAAAGGGGTGGGAAATGTCAAGAAGATTCAGTGACTCATATACTAATATATTGCACGTAAATGCTGACCCCAAAAGCGTAGATGGATGTTTTCTATTCTAAAATATAAGTTGAAAAACGGCAAGGCAAATGTACATCGTTAATGGAATGTTTAATGGAACATTCCAAAATCCATTCATTCTTAAGTCTTACATTGTCAAAGAAACAGCAAATATGTTTTGCATTCAATGTTGTTCTACTGAGTGAAACTCTGCTCTGATGTTTTTCATTTTCAGTGTGCTCTTAATTTCATCAAACATCTATAAGTTATAGATTTTTTTTAATTTAAAATAATTATTAACTTCGAACTAAAAATGTGATCCAATAAGTGACGTTTTTGTCTCTCTACTTGTCAACGTATCAAGGTTAAGGTGTAAGAGTTGTCAAGCACAATCTCGCAAGTAGCTTCGTGATGACAACAGTATCTGCAAATGCCGTGTACTGTGATTTGTAAAGTCAGTATAAATAAAATGAAGACACGGCACATGATATAGAGTTGTTTGCGAATAATTAGTGCCTTTAATAATTTCTAAGGAAATACAAAATACAGCATTCGTAAATTCAAATCAAAGGCATACTCATGAGTCCTAGACTTTCTGAAGTTTAATAATGATCATACCTAAATAACTGACTGAATAATTGACACATTATGTGTCAGTATAGTTGCACAAGTTAGGGTGCATTGTTGCATTGTATAGTTATATACTACTATGAGTCTATATACTATTTATTATCTGTCTATATACCATGCATCTACATACAATGAGCTGGTATACTATTCCCTATATGTGTATATCTACTACGAGCTCATATAGTAGGTGCATACATATGAACATGTATAATATACACCATGAACCCATATACTATGCACATATATACTATGAGTGTGTATACTATTCCCTATATGTGTATATCTACTATGAGCTCATATAGTAGGTGCATACATATGAACATGTATAATATACACCATGAACCCATATACTATGCACATATATACTATGAGTGTGTATACTACATATATAACTCTATATACTATAAACCTATATGATAAATCATTTCACCATGAGTCTGTATACAATATATGTTTCTGTGTGTAAAAAGTCTTATTATACATTTGATACATGGATTGCTTTAAAGGGCACAGACTTGGCAGGCACAATCGCTGGGTTCTTGTAAGACCATTTGATGAGTCACGCCTGGAAGTGGGTTGTTATCTACATCGAAGCACGCATCTAAAACTACTGTTCGCAAAGTTCGCGTTCTTTCTCGGCAACATTTACATTCCTGCAAAATAACGAAAATGAATTCATTTTTAAAATACGATATGTTCGTTTTGTTCGTAATACTGGACCAACATTATCATCGTGATATCAATGACCAGTATGTCCAGTATAAACAGTAAACAGTATGTTCAATAAATGAAAAGGTATGTATAAATATTATATAAGTGGAATGAATGAGTGTGTAATCTACATATAATTGACATGTATGATTATGTAATATATATGGTAATTGGTGAAATGATTATGTAGTCTAAATATGTATTAAGTAAAATAAATGAGTATGTAATCTGCATATGTTAATGAGTAAAATAAATGAGTATGTGAGCTGTATATGTTAATGAGTAAAATAAATGAGTATGTAATCTGTATATGTTAATGAGTAAAATACATGAGTATGTAATCTGCATATGTTAATGAGTAAAATAAATGAGTATATAATCTGCATATGTTAATTATTGTAATAAATGAGTATGTAGTCCAAATATGTATTAAGTAAAATAAATGAGTATATAATCTGCATATGTTAATGAGTAAAATAAATGAGTATGTGAGCTGTATATGTTAATGAGTAAAATAAATGAGTATATAATCTGCATATGTTAATTATTGTAATAAATGAGTATGTAGTCTAAATATGTATTAAGTAAAATAAATGAGTATGTAATCTGCATATGTTAATGAATAAAATAATTGAGTATGTAATCTGCATATGTTAATTAGTAAAATAAATGAGTATGTAGTCTAAATATGTATTAAGTAAAATAAATGAGTATGTAATCTGCATATGTTAATGAGTAAAATAATTGAGTATGTAATCTGCATATGTTAATTAGTAAAATAAATGAGTATGTAATATGCATATGTTAATGAGTAAAATAAATGAGTATGTAATATGCATATGTTAATTAGTAAAATAAATGAGTATGTAATATGCATATGTTAATTAGTAAAATAAATGAGTATGTAATCGGCATATGTTAATGAGTAAAATAAATGAGTATGTAATCTGCATATGTTAATGAGTAAACTAAATGAGTATGTGAGCTGTATATGTTAATGAGTAAAATAAATGAGTATGTAATCTGCATATGTTAATGAGTAAAATAAATGAGTATGTAATCTGCGTATGTTAATGAGTAAAATCAATGAGTATGTGAGCTGCATATGTTAATGAGTGAAATAAATGAGTATGTAATCTGCATATGTTAATGAGTAAAATAAATGAATATATAATCTGCATATGTTAATGAGTAAACTAAATGAGTATGTGAGCTGTATATGTTAATGAGTAAAATAAATGAGTATGTAATCTGCATATGTTAATGAGTAAAATAAATGAGTATGTAATCTGCGTATGTTAATGAGTAAAATCAATGAGTATGTGAGCTGCATATGTTAATGAGTGAAATAAATGAGTATGTAATCTGCATATGTTAATGAGTAAAATAAATGAATATATAATCTGCATATGTTAAAGAGTAAAATAAATGAGTATGTGAGCTGTATATGTTAATGAGTAAACTAAATGAGTATGTGAGCTGTATATGTTAATGAGTGAAATAAATGAGTATGTAATCTGCATATGTTAATGAGTAAAATAAATGAGTATGTAATCTGCATATGTTAATGAGTAAAATAAATGAGTATGTGAGCTGTATATGTTAATGAGTGAAATAATTGAGTATGTAATCCGCATATGTTAATGAGTAAAATAAATGAGTAGGTAATCTGCATATGTTAATTAGTATAATGAATCACATTAATAGATATAATTAATAATAAGTTATACGCATACGCAACTCGACGAAAATGTTGTCTTTTCAGCTAAATCGCAAAAATGCATTTTCCAAAGACAAAACATGCACGTTAATATTGCATTGAATATACTCTAGTTAATTTTCCTGCGAGATAACAAAATGATAAGAATAATAAGACAAGCGTGCATATACATGATTGCTATAATATAGCACAGGCGAGAAAAGAAAGTACACGTGAGATTATGATATAAATTTTATTTGGATCAAATACAAGTTTATCACATTTCCAACACCCTGGTTTGAATTCTCTATGCATACACTCATATCAGTATCGTTCATATACATGAGTACGTGTCAAATGTACATAAATTCTAATTTTGTTGCATTTGAGAAACATTGGGTGATTTTTTTTCTAATGAATAATGGACCCAACATGGTGTATACTCTCCCGGGCAATTTATCGCGTTTTAGCGTCTGTAAATATTAATGGGTTTACGCTGCATGTGTCTTCCATGTATACGGGAAACTCTTTGTGATCGCGCCATGTGTGATGGCTCTTGGGAAACGACGCTAGCTAATTAACATGTACGTTACAATACAAGGCAATCCGATGATTAGACTAGTACTATAGCAAGCTTATAAATGCACTGATTGTGTAGTGCAGTTGAAACATTTTGTTTTGTTCTTAGAGAAAATGCCGAGGATTTATCACATGCATCTATGAACGGGGGGGGGGGGGTAGTGATAAACCTACAATATTGGGTAATATATAAGCTCGTCCAAGGACGCGGAAAGAACATTAGCATTTACTGAACTTGAGATAACAGTCTACCATTCATTACCCGAACTTGAATTGCTACAATCTGAAAACAATATTCTGTATGATATGGTTTCTCGCTGATTCTGGGTGACATATGGGGAGATACATGCGATGACTGCGGTCCATACAGAACTGTAGATTGTTTATATGGTGATTTTCTGATTGCCTAAAACTTAATATCCACGTTATGTGTTATACGTCGGTAACGAGAAGATGGTGACATTTTATGCTTTCATTTTAAAGTTAATCTTAACGTGCGGTTTCATTTCCAATACACATGATACTCTTAACTACTTTAGTCAAATAAAAAACAATATATAATAACAAATATGTATTTTTATGAGTGATGCTTACCTTGGAAAATCCATATCTCACACTCGGCGTTACCTGGGAAATACACGATCCTTCGCATTTTTTAAGAACAGCCATACCAGAGCAGTACTTTGTGAATCCCGTTTCTTGGTCTACTACCTCATGGTGGATCACTAAGTCAGTAGTTCCCGGAAAACAGTTGTCTTCTTGTTGCGCCCTCGATCGCATGAGTATAGAGGCGCTGCAGCAGGCAAGGAAGATTAGAACGTTCATTGCAAACAGAAGAAAAGATGATATCGAAATCTGAAAAGACACGAAATGGAAAACAATATGAAGATTAAAACAAATGAGAATGTGTTTGTCAACGAGCTGCAATATTCCCCTACTGCTAAACAATTTCAGTGGACTTTACCTAAAGTGGTGAGTACGCCGAAGAGACACACTATATGATCATTTTGGCACACATGTAGTTATATTCTTCATCGTTATCAGCGCCAACCGCTGTCTACCCTATTGTCATTCGTCGCCTGGTCACGTGGTGTCATGTGCATTATCATTCGCATTGATAAGAAAGTGCACGTTCCCTTTTATCAGATAAACGGAATGTTCCAGATTCGATTCTACCCTCCAAATGTGGCCCAGTTTAATTTCAACTTTGAATTACTTCCCAACAAGTATCATATTATACAATGATTATTCTTTCTTATTCATGTGGGCACCCGGAAAAGCAAGTGTGATTAAGTTTGATATGAAATATACATCAGTCTACTACATTGTTAGAGCGGATACAAACATGCAGCTAGAGGGTACATCATTTGAGGTGTGTTTGTATAATGTCATGATGTATTTGTATAATGTCGTGATATATTTGTATAATGTCATGATATATTTGTATAATGTCATGATATATTTGTATAATGTCATGATGTATTTGTATAATGTCATGATGTATTTGTATAATGTCATGATGTATTTGTATAATGTCGTGATATATTTGTATAATGTCATGATATATTTGTATAATGTCATGATGTATTTGTATAATGTCATGATGTATTTGTATAATGTCGTGATGTATTTGTATAATGTCATGATGTATTTGTATAATGTCATGATATATTTGTATAATGTCATGATATATTTGTATAATGTCATGATATATTTGTATAATGTCATGATATATTTGTATAATGTCATGATGTATTTGTATAATGTCATGATATATTTGTATAATGTCATGTTATATTTATATAATGCCGGGATGCATTTTATAATGCCATAATGTATCAATATAATGATATGATGTATTTGTATAATATCATGATGTATTTGTATAATGTCGTGATATATTTATATAATGCCATAATGTACCAATATAGTGACATGATGTATTATTCTTATATCATGGTGAATTAGCATTAATTCATGACGCTTAGATACGTCCAGATATATACGACACAATTGGTTCTATAAAACGCATGTTATATTTCAGATATTCGTTGTTTGTGGTCAGAGATGTATTTTCAGCAACTGTGTCAATTATTTCTCAACATTAGTGTCGATGCACCGTCATGTCGAAATCTGGATACTTTACTTTAAAACAACAACAACAACAGCAATAATGCTTGTTGAGTGGAAAAACACTAATACGCATGCGCACTGATTTTTATTGTACGTACCAAAATAACCAGTGGACATGCGCATGAAATAATTGAATCACTCCCTTGATCGAATACTCGGTGCACGTGAGTGTTACAAGAACATACTTTTCAGTTCTTGATAAATCACAGCCCAATGTATTTATCAACATACAGTAACAAACAATACTCGTCAATACTAGTATTGCATCGTTAGTACTAGTATTGCATCGTTAGTACTAGTATTGCATCGTTAGTACTAGTATTGCATCGTTAGTATTAGTATTGCATCGTTAGTACTAGTATTGCATCGTTAGTACTAGTATTGCATCGTTAGTACTAGTATTGCATCGTTAGTATTAGTATTGCATCGTTAGTACTAGTATGTATCGATTCTGTCACGAAATCACAGAGAAAATAGGTTACAGAGAAAATGTTGTATGCCAGGTAAAATACACAAGGTGTTGTCATGGTATAGTCCTCGAACAAAGATTATGTGAATGGACGTGAACATGTCTATAATTCACACACAATATACATACATTCATTCAAGGAATATTGAAAACACCGGGTGATCGTACGTATATACGCGAGACCTGGTTTAAATTCGGGAAAGGTGGGAAAAACTAAGACGGCTATATACATGTAGCCATCACATCAATCAGCTAAACAAATACTAAACCCAGCCGTTTATTGTTTAATTATGGTGGACAGCCTGAGACCAATTCACGGGACCCGTCACTCGTTGGCAGGTCATTCTGATACCCCCTGTAGACAATAATCGGTCACACCGTTTGCGATACAAACATGATATGGTGGACTCTACGTCACCAATTAAGTATAACTCGTTTGGCGAACCAACCAATACTAAACTAGCTATTTTACAATGGGCGCACACACTGGTCTAAAAATCTACTGTCTCGAAGCCACACAAACTAGTTCATCGGTATTGTATAATTTATTACAGCAAATATATCGAAAAGTTGATAACATAATAATAATAATAAAACCAACGAGAACGCACGTTAAGTTGTCATGGGGAAGTGACGTCAATTTGAACCTACGAAGGAGAACAACGCGTAAATGTCGTGCGTGTACAGTTACCACTAATACGTGTGTGCGTTTGTATGTATTCTTTCTGACGTTCATTTTATCGGTCAGTAATGATCTCATTTTTTTATGGCTGCAGAAGAAAAATATCAAGAAAAAATCTTTTCAGCTTAAAAAATGTGTTGTATGGCATTGATTTTTAGCTATACAAAGCATAACCGTCTTATGAAGCAATTCATAAAAATCAATCAAACATGGACAAGCAGTTTCCCGACAAATGAAAATCCATAAATATAGGTAACGATTACCGTGAACAATTGATTGCCATTGGTGTGTATCGGCGATATGTAATCGCTTGCATGTCGGCAAATTACCATTACATTCAGCGCTAAAGAGGTTTCGGCAAAACAATAAACTCACATCGATAATAGGCATTTACAATTGATTGAATTTACGCGCAGACTAAATAAACTAGTGCCCATCCTTTTAAATTATGGCATTTGAATACTAATTAGATATTTTCTGACAATTAATCATTAAATGAATTGTAACAAATGTACTAGAGATTAAGGTTGTATTTACCATAGAAACTGAGGGCTAACCTGACGAACAAGTTTGGAATAAACATTACGTCAACTCGTTGTCAGTATGTGATAATTTGTCGGTATGTGATGTTTGTCGACAGGCGATGTCGCCGTTGATTATTTGATGTACAATAAGATGCATAACCAAAGTATAACAAAAGTTGAAAAAGTGCATATGTAGCATATATTTTGTTTGAAATCACGTTAGTCTTGACACATCAGAGAGAACTACGTCGGAAACGAGAACGTAATGACGGATTTTGACGTTTTTTTATGAAATATATTGTCATGGTCAAATATTCAGAATGAACCCATATAGACCTGACGAAATTACAGAATGACTCGGAACTGATACAAACCATATGAAGCCCTGCTTCAATCGCGATCACTGCCGCCAAGGCAGCGGCTTTCGTGGCGAGGGTTGACATGTTTGTTCTACAGATTCAGCAAAACTCTTTTAATATTCGTTGTATATATTGTATATATTACAACAATAATTTTAGCAGAAGCATCTCTTTCAAAGTTTGTGGGCGCCGTACTTCTAACTCGATGTGTGAGGGCGCAGTGTTGATGCCAGTCCTTCTCGTGATGCGGATTAAAAATAAAAAAAGCAATTACCATGCTAAATCAACAATGACGTAAACACAGTTTAAAGGGCATGTTTAATATTTGGCCAGTAAATAATTTGGCATAAACAGTTCTTGTGGGAATACGGATTCCTTATTATTCGCAATTAGCGGCGATTTAGAGAAAATACGACCCGACTGAAGTGAATCGTGATGATGCACCAGAGGAGAGGGCCTGAGACACCTAAACGCGCAAAAGAAAAAATGGTGTGTTAAACATATTGAACAAACGGATAAATTGGACATTATTTATAATAAACGCTGATACATTAACAAGAATAAATATTTATCGACTTCACAGATTAAATAGAAAAAATCGGCGTGTATCAGGCGACTGTTTCCGACAATCAATGTCCATACGTTCTTCACATATGAAAGATCGTTGACAATCGTGACAAATAGTTGGTGAATTCGAATGTCCACAGTTGAACATCATAACGGGTAGCGAACCAACGCAAAGTGAAAATAGTCGGAATTACTGATGATCGAATCAGCAATTTTCGTCAATTTCCAAACTCGTCACGTGTCGTCCTTGTAAATAGTATTCACAATTTCCGCTTATGTGTGATTATTTTGAGTATGAGATCGATATTGTGAAATGTAGGTTTTCATATTGAAGGCAACATGTTGATTTCCGGGACGCCACAACAGCACTTTGATTTTTACTGTCTTCAGCAATCAAAGACGGTAGCATGCCTCACAGGAAATTGATCGCTCCAGCGGAGTATACATATCGCCCAGACACACTGGCGTCTTACTGTTTCTTTCCAAATGCCATGTCACTAATGACGGCACGGAGCCACTCTTATTTTTGGGGACATGAAAGGCAATTGTCAGAATTGGTATAAAACAACAAAACATCGTGATGACGACACAAATAAAGTATGAAAACGAAACATGACGACACAAGTACGAACACATCCGTCGAAATTATGATAGATAACTTACCCGTGGTTGCATCTTGATAGCTATATTACCGTATCTTTGCAGAGTCGTCGTAAGTTGTTATCGGTCGAACACGGCCCAATCGTTTAGTTACTGAAGTGTGGCCTTTCAAAGGCAGATATACGAGTACTAGTAATCCCAGTGCGGAAATCACTTACACTTTATATACAGTATATACATATAAACATATATATATATATATATCACTCTGAGGCAGTGGTTCTACGCAATACAGCAGTGTAGCCAATTGAATCGTACATGTACTTATGTCATTAATGGGAAGCGAGTAAAATTATCGCGGATAAGAACAACAAAACAACAATTATTGAACAAGTACGTAATTTAGTCTACCCACGCTTGGTTGCCATGCACGCGAAGGGAGATGGGGAAGGGAAATGTCGGCGCATGTACAGATTGTATTGTAAGCATCGAGGTTATACCTTAGAAAGTTTACTGCTCGTTATTACACACAATGATACAGAAAAAAATATAATTTTCACAACATTTCAACCCCGGTAGACACAAGGATGTCTATGGAACATGAAAAAACTGTGAACACACACAAACACACGCCCACACACACCTCTTTCTATA